TTCATTTGCACCCTTTCTACATCTATAAATAAAACCCTGTGGATATGGTTTTGGGTACACCAATTGCATTGAGCATTTATTCTCCTCTTGCGATTCTCCCCTTTCTAATTCTATAGTATTTTCATGCATTTCCTTGGTAGAGAGGGAATTCCGTTCTAGTTCGCTGGTCGAAGTCATTTGGAGTGCTCCTATGGCTTGACGTGGTCGTTGTATTTTGAAAGATGATTGTCAGAAAACCGTTAGCACCGATGCGGGGCAAATTCATCTTAAGGAAAGAGTTATACTCGTCTCGGCCAATCGCATCACTTGCATCTAATTTTTTTTCTTATTTCTGATTTGATTACTTGACTTCAGAAAATGATTAATTTTCTTTATATGGTATGCAAGGTTCAATATGAAGAATCACATGTTTTAATTCAAGAATGGAAATGGTCAGATTCGATAATCATTGGTTAGTTTTTCAAACTCCATTTCAGTAAGTCGAAACCTTGTTTCGATTTCGTGAATATAAACCGTATATTTTTTGTGAATATAATATGCACAAAATCGGTGTATTCCCCAACAATCTTAAGATGAATTTTCTTATGTATATCAAATTTTTATTTGCAATCGAAATCAAGATACTGCATAAATAAAATCATAAGACAGAACTTTGACATATCATGATTTTGATAAATGTGTTCTATTACAACATTTTAATTAGAGAAATTCATGTGTAATGAATCTGTATATTATAACAGAATCGATAGTGATTCTATAACTTGGAATCATTCATTTATATGTTGAATTTATTACAATATATTTCAAGTTGATTTGTAGACAAATAATATGATATTATTCAATCCTGCACCATATAATGTAAATTCTGGTTTTGACCCATTAGAAGAAATTCTAATATTCAGAGATTAGAGTGAAAAATCTCAAATTGGTGCACCAGATTATATGATAATTAGTTGTGAAATTCATAATACATATGATATTCATGAACTGGTACATACATGTTTGTGTATTGTATTTGTTGGAAGTTTCATCTATGAATTTTATTTGTTGGGACTCTTTTAATCCAAAGTATATCTATATTAAAAGATAATTTGTGTCAGAAGTTGCCTAAGGAATTTTGGTTGGGAAGGTTGGTAAAATCTTGTTAACTGTTTGTAAACAAATAGTATGCATGCTATATGGAAAAATATATCTTTCCAAATTAAAAATAGTTTTTAATTTCTGAAGTGGTGTGACTCGTTTGAACTGTGTAGCATCAAATATCTGTCCAGATAGTATATAAATGTAAACTGATTTGTAAAGTCAAATTGCACATGGACATTATAAATTTTATATACTAACCATTGCATTCTTTCATATTTAAACTGTCTCAATTCAAAATTATCAAGAAATAAATTTACTAAACTTGCGAAAGATGCATGTTGGGATAATTTTAATTGTCCAAAGCATGTTGGCTTTGGCTTTGTCAAAAACTAGTAATGCTGAAATTTATAGTTTGTGCAGAATTTCTTACTTTTAACGTATGTCATCCCAATAACTAGGGCAAATCATTATGCGTTTGAATATATTACTTGCATGAGAATGCATATTTTAACCGGTAAATATGCCCATAATGGTAATGGCATGAGTATGCATTTATTTTAAGCAGACAACTTTGTTGGGTATCTATATGATAATCATGTGAAGCGGATTAGTATATTCATTTGATGAAATTTATAGTTTGTGCAGAATTTCTTACTTTTAACGTATGTCATCCCAATAACTAGGGCAAATCATTATGCGTTTGAATATATTACTTGCATGAGAATGCATATTTTAACCGGTAAATATGCCCATAATGGTAATGGCATGAGTATGCATTTATTTTAAGCAGACAACTTTGTTGGGTATCTATATGATAATCATGTGAAGCGGATTAGTATATTCATTTGATGAATCCATACAAGCGTTTGGATTTTGGGTAGACCTTTTTGATTAAAATGGTCTAGTTGGTTAAATTTTCATATCTTGTTGAAATTATACTAACTTTGATTAATATTGATAGCCTCATTCAATCCTATGAAATTAAGTGAGATAATTTAAGTGGATATAATTATTTAATTATGAGAATTAAGCCACTTAATTATTTGAAATATTCTACGATCAATTTAGATGAAAATGTGCTTCTTTTCATATGAATAATCATGACTTTTGGTATGATTGTTTTTCAATGGATGTGTCTCTTCATAGAGATTAATTCAAGAGGTGTGTCCTTTTGTAGGGTTGTGTCTCTTGAAGAACACAACTTTTCAACCTATAGTTGATTCGTTCGTTCAAGTTTGAATATGATGAATAAGGTGAATATGTACCTTATTATTTGACATAAAATGAAACTATCATGTGAAATGTCACAAATGTGATAAGTTGCATCTATTGCAATGCTTAGCCCTCTTTATTGTTGAATTTAACTTATATCATGAAATCAATTAAGTTGGTATATGTTTTGAAAGCATTGTTGGTCCATATGATGGCTTTGATTTAATTTGGATGATCAAAATTAATTAGATTAAAGTACGTTATATGCAAGTTGACAACCACTACTTTGAAAGTACATAGACTTTCACGAAGCATTTGATACGGATATTATCTAAGAGATAAATGAATAGAACTATAAAAGAATTGTTGAATTCTAAGTTCAAGTATAACCCAAGAATGTGGGGGGTTAAATTTAATGCTTGTGAACTTAAAATGGAAAGTTCAAAACTTGTGGATGCAACATTACTAGATTGCATATGTATTCCTAATTGAGGAATTGTGGGAGTAACTTAGTTTAACAGTTACGTTTGCTTCTATCTTATAATCACAGAACGATATCTATGAAGGTAGAAAGATAGAAAACCCTTATACTAATTATAAGGATGATATATACTAAGTCTAAAGTAGATGAAATGGGTTGTAAAGCTGATTATGGCGTTTGTATTGGAATATATGAAGAATATTCATAAAGTTCAAATGCATGGTAATGTTTCAATGATGATATTGAATACCCATGATTTCGAAATCCACTAGTAAAAGTAATTGACTAGTGTAGTGTTTGATAGAAATTCTCCAACCGTGTTTGGAAATTGATGAAGCTAATGAGGCATAAAGTTTCATGAGAAGGTTTCTTGGTGGCAACAATTTGCATCTATCAAATAAATCGATCGTTGGCTAGATATATTTGATAAGATATTAAGTCATGTGTAATGGTAGATCTAGACGTATAAGTGATAGACATAATACCATTAAGCAGTTGATCTCAATGGTGTAAACTCGTGGTACCTTTAAAAGAGATTTACTAAGAGAGATCAAGAAGACTGCATATCGAAGGGAATGAGATTGAAGTCTACTACGTTAGAGTCCTTGTAATGATAACCCTACCTTGTTGACTGGAGATCCTAAGATTTTGGTTCAAAGGGACAACTAAGTTATGAGGATTCCACGAAACATTTAGAAAAATAATTTCCTAACTCATTCCTATAATATTAAAGTGTTTTCTGCAGAGTTGTAAGAGGTTAAGATAATCTTTTAATAATTCCTATATCTTGATTAAGTCAAGTGAAGTATGGCAGAATACTCTTAATAGGAGGTCACCTATGTGAGTGTGAAGTGTGGCCGCTTCAATGAGAATTATTCAAGGTTTAAATTCTCTAAACACTCACAGAACCAAGAAAGGTTCAGGGCCAAAATGAACCAAGTCATTAGAACCATGAACGGTTTAGGGAAGACATTGTGTGAGTATCGTTGTCTTGGCTTACACTAAAGGCTGAACAGTTCAAGACATCACGTTCACCAATTAGCCGAGTAAGTCCGATGGTATTTTACTAAGGGAGGCTCAAGGCCAGAAGCTACCTTCCCTGATGCAGTATTTTTTCGCACCCTCTCTACATTGTATCATATCATCGCATTTGCATATACATACCCAATTTCCATTCACGTGGGGGATTGTAGGAATTGGTTCTAATAATTAACCAAAAATTGGAAAATGAAAATGTGTGTAAAAGTGGAAAATGAAAAGGTGTGACTACGTGTCAATTTCGATCAAATATTCGAACTTGATTCGATGGTTAAATTACAAAAGTAAATAGACAAACTTATTCTACTCGTTCAGTAGATCGTCGTGGTTTATTTAGAATCTCGAAATCAATTTCGGATGAATGAGAAATTGATGACCAAATTTCAAAGAAATGAAGTGTTGCAACTTTTCGAAAGGATGCAGATTTTGGCCATGTGTTGCAACTTTTTGAAAGGATGCATGTTTTGGTTCTCACTACTTCATTTGCAACATTTCTATATCTATAAAGAGAACTCTGTAGACATGGTTTTGAGTACACCAATTGCATTGAGCATTCATTCTTCTCTTGCAATTCTCTCATTTCTAATTCCAAAGCATTTTCAAGCATTTCCTTGGTAGAGAGGGAATTCCGTTCGAATTCGTTAGTCGAAGTCATTTGGAGTACTCCTATGGCTTGACATGATCGTTGTATCTTGGGAGTTGAATGTCGAAAAACCGTTAGCACTGATGCGGAACAAATTCATCTTAAGGAAAAAGTTATACTCACCTTCGCCAATCGCATCACTTATATCTAATTTTTTCTAATTTCATTTCTACTTGATTTTAGAAAATGATTAATTTTATTTATATGGTTTATGCAATGTTCGATATGAAGAATCACATGTTTTAATTCAAGAATGGAAATTGTCAAATTCGATAATCATTGGTTAGTTTCTCAAACTCTATTTTGGTAAGTCGAAACCTTGTTTCGATTTCGTGAATATAAACGGTATATTTTTTGTGAATATAAAATGCACATAATCGGTGTATTCTCCAACATTGATTAATTCACAGTACAAGAAACTTTCTGATGAACTTAAAAGATATAGACTATCAATTTCGTCAATTCTCATTTAAAACAGTAATCAGAACATAAAGATTTGGATGGTACATCTCTATGCAAAAAACACAACTATAATCAGCAGAATTAAGTTGATACATAGATCGAAATCGGTACTATACTGGACTGTCCAGTTAATGAGTCTAAAGTAACCAGCAAATCCTGAAATAAATTTCACATCAAAAGTTTCTTCTACATTGGATTGAGGAGCTGAAAATCATGCCTTTGACGATAATCTTCAGTGTTAGCCACTTGCAGTTGAAGGGTAGGACTTGAAAACACAGGAAACTGCTTGTACTGAGGCATTGGATACAAGTTTGGCAAATAACAGCACATTTCAGCATTGGGAAAAGGAACATTGTCGAGTATCCCGAACCCTAAACCATGGGAAACTGGGATTTCACTGCCAATATAATTGCCCCGGATTTCACCACCATTGCTATACGTATAATTTCCGTAAGTATCTTCAGCATTATATATATAGTTGCTGCTACTACTCGATGCACCATCATTCATTGGCATCATCATCAGCCTCGGATCATCCATATTGAATGAGCCGTGTGGCATCAAAGATTGCTGCTGCTGATAATCCAACTTACATTGGTAGACGTATATATTTTCTTGAACTGATTGAGCATTCATTTGATTCTGATTCATCAAATTAATTCGAGACTTGACATTCTCAATCTTAGCCTGCAGAAGACTACTAAAGTGTTTCAGTTCGTCGTATGTCAAGTTATCATACGATGCATCCCAAGTTGGGTACTTAGTTTCAATGTTCTTGTTACGCGTTTTCACAAGCTCTTCTTGGACTTTCTTCACTTTATTCGTGAAGAAAAATGACAAATCATAGGTTTTTTGTCTGCAATCATCATCTGATCTCTTCTTGTAGGAGCTGATCAAATTTTCAATCTCTTCACGATTTTCAGGCCAAATTGTAGGCTCGACTGGTTCGTCACCTTCGGCTGGCCTGTAGATAATCATGCCTATTTTGACTCCACATAGAGTCGACAATTCATGAGCCTTCTTCTCCAAACCTTTCCTTCTCTTTTCAAAAGTTACACGGCGTGCCTTGTGGTTATTTCTAAGTTCCAGGGTTAGTTTTGCTCGTCCCATCTACATAAACAAAATCAAAATATTCAGAATCTCATTCCCTTTTCTCTTTTAAAAATTTTAACTTCTGATACTGATTTATAAGTGATTACAGAAATCGAGTGCAAAGAACAGTAAAATATATAAACTAATAAACACAAATAAAGAAAATTCAAATTATATTTTAATATTTGTACTTTGTTACAAATTCGAATAGAAATTAGGGCTTTTAAATTCTAAACTGCAAGCAAAATAATACAAAGATTTCAATTAAAAAAACTTGCTTATGGTCTTTATCGTTCGGAGTTGTGCATCATACGTGCATTGCCCTCAAGAAATTGGAAAAATCAAGAACTTAAATTTAATTATTAACTTATCAAAATAACATAATCCTAAATTTTTAATTTACTGCCTTTTTAAACACCAAAACCATTCATCAAAAAAACTGCATTTAAAAAAAAAAAATTGATAAAAAGTAACAGAATCCTTTATTAGTAATTGATAAAAAGAATAATAGTATCCTGAATTGATGATTGATAAAAAAATAACAGAAGTGTTGATCAATAATTGATCAAAATACTGCATGAAATTATAAATTCTAATCTACGGAACAGAACCTTAATCAAGAAACTACTTTACGAGTTTCTGGGCTTCAATTCTCCGATCTCAAACACCTTAATCTAAGTAATGAATGTGTTCTTATATAGAATAATGGGGGGAGGTGGGTGTTGAATTTATATGGAAACAAAATTCTGCAAAAACCGATGAAGATTTTCTTGATTACAAATTTTCGGTATATTACCTTATGGGTTTCACTAGGATTTAATTCTTTCTTACCGACAAAGACAATTAAAGGCTGTAACCCAAAAAAAAAAAAAAGTTAATTAAATTTACGCGCAGAAGTTCAAATCCATATTTTTAACTTTAATTTTCTACCGTAATTGTTATTTTGATATTAGATATGTGTTTGTGAGTGCATTTTCTTTTTAAGATTCATTCGGTGATTACCGTAATTTTGGTCAATAATACTCAAATTCGAAACGTGGATTAAGTAGTATAAGAAGAACTTAAAATATCTTGTTTATTCTAATGTTAATACACTCTAGTACTGCATTTCAAATACGAGCTAAAGTCAAAAATTTGATTTTTTGTACTCGTCTTTTGAAGAATGCCCTTTGTTTGGTGGTTTTGATTGCTTCTTCTAAGTTGATGAGTACATTCAAATAGTGTTTTATGCTCAATACTAAACTTGCTCAAATACGAAATATAATCAAGGGTGTCTTTCTTTTTTTGTTAAAGACGGCTATTGCTCTCGTTCATGACATATGATTTGCCAGGATATTGAGATCTATGTCGATGATCATGAATTGGATAAAGCATTGTTTCATAATATGTGAATTCATTGCACGTATAATATGGTAGATGCTTTCCTTCCGAATTCATCACATATTCGTAAGTGTACATCACACCCTTATCTGTACTATGAAACTTGATAAATAATTGCTAATTGAGTAGGTTTGTACATAATTTAGCCTAAATATGATCATTAGAGACACAATTTGGATTTGGATGTTTTTGAAAAAAAAAATGAAGAAGAAGGTTTCTGAGTTAATATGGAGTTGATTCGGAATAATTAATTGTTAATTGTATTGCATGTGATTGATAAGAAACATTAAGATAACAATCTAGAAATTTACAAATTTAGGGAGTGAAATTCAATATTTAGAAAGTTTGGACATTCATTACAGAACTTGTAGAGGACCAATTTCGAATGCTATTAAAGTTCGGGGTTTAATATGATAGCTTTTGGAACTTGTAGGATCAATTTGGATAAAAGGACCGAAATTGAGTGAAAAAGTTGAATAGGGACCAAAGTGCAATATATAAAACTTGGGGGACTGACTTGAAAATATTTAAAAGGGGAAGGACCAAAATTGTGAGATGAAAAGTTGGAGGGATGAAATTATTAAGATGAAAAGTTCAAATACTTGGTGTGAAATTAAAGCCCCGTTTGTTTCCCATTTTTCTCCATTAAAACGAAAAATATGATTGTTATTCATCACATCAAATCACCAAATTTGAATTTATATCTTTTGTATAAAGTTTATAACAACTATATTTTTCATTCTCATTTTTACAAAATTGGGAAACAAACGCCCCCTTAATGTTAAAAGGTTGAAGGGAGAAAAAGGGAAAGAAAAAAGAAGTGGAAATTACATTAAACCATACTTTAAATATTCAACATTCTAAAATCAAGTTAAAAGTTTGATATTTCAAAAATAAGATGTTTTATATTTAAATATTAAATATTATAATACAAATTTTATTTCAAACCCTAATTAATTTATCTCATTCCTCTTTTCTCCCTCTTTCTTCTCGCCGGTCTCCCCTCCACTCTCAGTTGTCACCTCTCCAATCTTAGCAGCCTTCCAGTTGCACATCACCGACGAAAAATAGCTACGACGATGACGGTTGGTAGTGATGGGGATGGCGTGGAGGTGGTCCTCTCTTCTCACCCGTCTCCCTCTCCAATCTCAGCAGCCTTTCGACGGTTTGGTGGTGATTTCTTGTTGATTTGTGTGAGATTGGGTTATGTTGTGGGATTTATTCTAGAAGAAATTCACTTTAGTGAAAGCAGAAGTGCAATCATTGGCGAATATCTTATGCTATTCTGGATCTGCGGTACAAAGTAAAATGAGATATTAACTTCCATCATCCCCTCATTCCATCATCCCCTCATTCAATATATTGTTTTTGTTGGTGATTTTGTCAATTGCTTCGTCAGAAATCTATAAAGATATTTCTTTACATCTCCCACCCTTCACCGTGCACCAGTTGTTCCGAAATTGATATTTGATAGTTCAAAATCATATGCAAATGTAGTCTGAAAGAAGTCACCAGCGGTTTGATAATTCACAAATCTCTTCAATTTGTGTCAGATTTGGAAGGCTAAGGAGTGTCTAAATATTTTTCCAACCAGCAGAAATGCCAGAGCAGAGGCTGATATTGTTGATGCTCTCACAGTCAGACTTCCAATCCTTTGGTGAACCTTCTACCAATGGCATTTAGGCAAATTAAAGATCCTATGGCGATCATTAAGCTGGCAATTAACTGTCAAAGTGGTGCTTATCTAAATATTGATGAACTTGTTGAAATTCCAAAACTTCTTGGATTAAGTTCACAGGAAAACATCTCAGCAGTACAGGAAGCTATTGTAAGAAAAGCAGAATTGCTGGAGATGTGCAACTGGCTTTTGATCACTGTCTCGTGTTGGCCAAAAAGGGTCATGGTTCTGCTTGGGACGATACACAGCTGCAACCACTCTCTCCACTCTCTGTACCGCTGCGACGACAAATAGCTATGACCAACAGGGCTGCTGAGACATGATTTTTGAGGGGTGATTGTGACCAATTATTTGGTTGATTGTAATTAATAATTGGTTAATTTGTAATATGTGACCTAAAAATTGTGACTGTGACTCACAATTGAATAAGTTGTCTTCGGAAAATTAATGACCAATTAATCTAATAATTTACAATGAATAAATGAATTGTGACCAATAAAAGTTTTGATTCTGTGACCAATGAATAATTTGTAACATATAAAATTTTTGACTCATGACCAGAAAGTAATGTGACCTATAAAATTTTAGATTTATGGTCCAAAAATTAGTTATGATCAATAATTTGATAAGTTGTGATCAAAAATTAATCCGTGACTAATTAACTTTTTGATTTGTGATCGATGAACAAATTGTGACTTACAAAATTTTTGAATTGTGATCGTAAAATAATTTGTGACTTAAAATTTTTGATTTGTAACCAAAAATAATAAGTAACTAATTAATTTGTTAATTTGTGACCAAATTGTATAAATCGATGACCTAAATATATATAAATAATAACTTAATTAATTAAATCATAAATAAATTTTAATAAAAATCTGATTTTTGAAATTGAAACTTGTTTTTTTTTTTTTGAAGTGTGTGATATTTAAACTCTTACTTATGAAATTTTTTAAAAAAAGAAAGACACGTGGAAAAAAAATAGAAAAGGAATTATATGAACCCGGAAAAAGGAGATTATTTCACGAGTCTCTATTTGCCGTGGTTGACCGAGGCAAGCAAATTGTATTCATTTTGCTTTCAGTGTATTTTGCTGTTTTTTTATTAGAATAATACTATTTAACTCCACTTAATGTATTTTGTTGTTTTTCATTTAGTTTATCACTTAATGTCACTTCAATCGAGGTTGCAACCCCAATGAAGTCAAATAGCATTATTCTTTTTATTATTTTTTCAACTTGATTCGTTTTGACTCTTTTTCTAGGTACAATTCTCGAGGCACGCCTACCATTATATAAGTGCATCGTTAAGATCAAATTAAGGGAAGGAGAAGTTTTTCAAATAAAAAATTAGAGAGAAAAATCGAGGAACAATTGCGAAGCTAGGGTTTCAAAGTTTTCACGAAAAGAATGGTTTCTTGGTGCAAGATCTTTATTTCCCCCCCCCCCCCCTTTCCATTTAAACTCGGTGATGTACTTCAAATCTATCTTGTATTTTTCTATCTCTATCATATGGAAGTAATATGATTGTTAGGACGAACTATTGTAACATAGTTTTGAAACTTAATTTAAATTATTATGTTTTGATTTTCAATTGATGTTTATGTATTGTTTTTATGTTATTATTACGACTTTGAATTATTTCAATAATAATTCATGATTTTGTGAAAGGTAACGAGTCAAGAGGTGAGTTAGGCGTTAGACCACAAAGTAAAAGTTCTAATTTTGAAATATTTATTGGTAGGAAGAAATTTGTATTTCAAAATATGTAAAAATTTTAAGAGAAAGACCTTATTAACAAGTCTTCTTCATATTTATTAGAAAGAAATTTTTTTGAAAAACAAGTCATTTTCATATTAATTAAAGAAATTTTTTTCAAACTTTTGGTAGGAAGATTTATGTAAATTTTGTAGACTTTGTCACTTTCATTAAAGATGTTTTCAATTTTGTTAAGATTTTTTTCAAGTTTTTCTTATACTAGAACCCCCCGAATAGAATATTTTTAGAGTTTTTCTTGTATATATATATAGGAGCTTATTTGTTGCTTTTGAGATTTAGTTAGTTTAAGACATGGGAGTTTTTGTTATTGAGGTTTTCATTTTCATTTTCTATGATAACAGAGCTCTTGATTCTAACACGGATCAAATTCGTTTGCTCATCAAAACACTGGAATGAAAATGTCATAAATTGGTGCCTTCTTTCATCGTCCTTTGTGCTTGAATTATGTCACTTGGATTTATTTTAAGGCTATTAAGAAAATTGGATGTAAATTCAACTTAATTTGGACAATCCAGAGGAAGTCTGTTCTATGTTTCTTTCTGTGGTTTATGTTTGTTGTACTAAATTTCATTGCCTTTTCGGCCTAGGTCTTGGTGAAACATCTCTTTCAAATTCGCAGCTAAAACATGGCTATGAGACGTCGATCTCATGTGCCCGGCAACATAAGAGCTTCCATATATCATGGTTGTGAAATCTGTTTCGTCTGCCATATTTTCCTTTTGTAGTGAATCTACTGATTAATTCACAGTACAAGAAACTTTCTGATGAACTTAAAGATATAGACCAACAATTTCGTCAATTCTCATTTAAAACAGTAGTCAAAACATAAAGATTTGGCTGGTACATGTCTATGCAAAAGACACGACTATAGTCAGCAGAATTAAGTTGATACATTAATCGAAATCAGTACTATACTAGACTGCCCAGTTAATGAGTCTAGTAACCAGCAGATCCTGAAATAAATTTCACAGCAAAAATTTCTTCTACATTGGATTATGAAGCTGAAAATCATGCCTTCGACGATAATTTTCAGTGTCAGCTGCTTGCAGTTGAAGGGTAGGACTTGAAAACACTGGAAACTGCGAGTACTGAGGCATTGGATACAAGTTTGGCAAATAAGAGCACATCTCAGCATTGGAAAAAGGAACATTGTCGAGTACCCCGAACCCTAAACCATGGGAAACTGGGATTTCACTGTTAATATAATTGCCCCGGATTTCGCCACCATTGCTATACGTACAATTTCCGTAAGTATCTTCAGCATTACATATATAGGAAACTGGGATTTCACTGCCAATATAATTGCCCCGGATTTCACCACCATTGCTATACGTATAATCTCCGTGAGTATCTTCAGCATTATATATATAGTTGCTGCTACTACTCGATGCACCATCATTCATTGGCATCATCATCAGCCTCGGATCAGCCATATTGAATGAGCCGTGTGGCATCAAAGATTGCTGCTGCTGATAATACAACTTACTTTGGTAGACGTATATATTTTCTTGAATTGATTGAGCATTCATTTGATTCTGATTCATCAAATTAATTCGAGACTTGACATTCTCAATCTTAGCCTGCAGAAGACTACTGAAGTGTTTCAGTTCGTCGTATGTCAAGTTATCATACGATGCATCCCAAGTTGGGTACTTAACTTCGATGTTCTTGTTACGCATTTTCACAAGCTCTTCTTGGACTTTCTTCACTTTATTCTGGAAGAAAAATGACAAATCATAGGTTCTTTGTCTGCAATCATCATCTGATCTCTTCTTGTAGGAGCTGATCAAGTTTTCAATCTCTTCACGATTTTCAGGCCAAATTGTAGGCTCGACTGGTTCGTCACCTTCGGCTGGCCCGTAGAGAATCATGCCTATTTTGACTCCACATAGAGTCGACAATTCATAAGCCTTCTTCTCCAAGCCTTTCCTTCTCTTTTCAAAAGTTACACGGCATGCCTTGTGGTTATTTCTAAGTTCCAGGGTTAGTTTCGCTCGTCCCATCTGCATAAACAAAATCAAAATAATCAGAATCTCATTCCCTTTTTTCTTTTAAAAATTTTAACTTCTGATACTGATTTATAAGTGATTACAGAAATCGAGTGCAAAGGACAGTAAAATATATAAACTAATAAACACAAATAAAGAAAATTCACATTATCCTTTAATATTAGTAATCTGTTACAAATTCGAATAGAAATTAGGGCTTTTAAATTCTAAACTGCAAGCAAAATAATACAAAGATTTCAAATAAAAAGTTGCTTATGGCCTTTAACGTTCGGAGTTGTGCATAATACATGCATTGCCCTCAAGAAATTGGAAAAATCAAGAACTTAAATTTAATTATTAACTTATCAAAATAACATAATCCTAAATTTTTAATTTATTGCCTTTTTAAACACCAAAACCATCCATCAAAAAAACTGCATTTAAATTTTTTTTTGATAAAAAGTAACAGAATCCTTTATTAGAAATTGATAAAAAAGAATAATAGTACCCTGAATTGATGATTGATAAAAACTAACAGAAGTGTTGATTAATAATTGATCAAAATACTGCGTGAAACTATAAATTCTGATCTAAGGAACAGAACTTTAATCAAGAAACCACTTTACGAGTTTCTGGGCTTCAATTCTCCGATCTCAAACACCTTAATCTAAGTAACGAACGTGTTCTTATATAGAATAATGGGGGGAGGTGGGTGTTGAATTTATATGGAAACAAAATTCTGCAAAAACCGATGAAGATTTTCTTTATTACAAATTTTCGGTATATTACCTTATGGGTTTCACTACGATTTAATTCTTTCTTACCGACAAAGACACTTAACGAGGAAATGGTGGGCAATGGCTGCCCCACCCGGTATGTTTTCCATAATAGCCTTTGACCAAGTTATTTGTTAAAAAAAAAAAAAAAAAATGTAAACAAAATGTGTAGGGTCGAAAATACCCTCATTTAGAGGAAAGAAGAGAAGAGAAAATAGAGAGAAAAAAGAAAAGAAAAAAGGGAAAAATCAGCTACCAACCGTCGACGTCGCCTACGGACTGCCCGGACCTCACCAACTTCGACCAAGACTAAAGCCACCTCGGATTCACCGGAGACCGTCATTTTCTTGAAGGTTAGACATGTTTTCTATAAATAACTACTTTAAATTTGTGAAAGTTTGAATGTTTAGGATATGAATATGGGTTAAATTCATATTTCTATAGTTAAAATGTAAGAAAATATCGAATTTGAGGTTAAAATCTTGAAAAAAAGTGGAAAAAAGGGGTGGAGCTCCATTTCCGGCGAGCCCGCCGGTTTGGTCCGTTACGGACCA